AGAATATTTAAATACCATTAGATCTCTGATTGTTAACATTGAAAAACAGTATGCTGTACCAATTTACAATATGGACAATATTGAAGATGTTTCTTTGCAAGACTTGATGTTTGTAATTAATGATCAACTGTTTTTGGAAACTTTACTGTTAGAAATCAGAAGTAAGACTATTTCATACTCATGCTATAAAAAAAAAACCAGTAACGATACAGAGAAAAAGTTGATTGAAGATATTCAGGAACTAGAAAGGGGAGCACTATCAAGTAATGTTGAGTTAAATAATATTGACATAAAAAAGAGAGAACTAGAAAAGTTAAGAAAGCATAAATTAATGGGCAATATGATACGTTCTCGAACAAAATGGATAATTGAAGGAGAAAGGCCAACCAGGTACTTTTGTGGACTAGAATCTAGAAACTTCACCAGTAAAATTATTCCAAAGATAGAAAAAGATGATGGTATAGTGATTTTAGAACAGACAGAAATTCTAAATGAAACAAAACTTTTTTATGAAAATTTGTACAAAAGAAATACTGCTATACAGGATGTAAACTTAGAGGACTTGTTTAATCCATATGATATACCTAAATTATCTCCCCTGGAATCATTATCATTAGAAGGACAAATAACTATATCTGAAATGGCAAAAACACTAATGAAAATGAAGGATAATAAAAGTCCTGGTTCTGACGGCTTCTCTGTTGAATTTTTTAAAGTATTTTGGAAACAACTTGGGCATTTCATTGTCAGGTCAATTAATTTTGGTTATTCAGTTTCAGAAATGTCAGTCACTCAAAAACAAGGAATTATAACATGCATCCCAAAAGGCGACAAACCCCGTAATAAACTAAAAAATTGGCGTCCCATCACACTTCTCAATACTATTTATAAGATGGCATCCGGCACGATAGCAGAAAGACTCAAAACTATAATAACTAAATTAATTAGCAACAGTCAAACTGGTTTTATTCCAGGTAGATATATTGGAGAAAATACACGTTTAATTTATGATTTAATGCATTATACTGAAGAAAATGACATACCTGGTCTTCTATTGTTAATTGATTTTGAAAAAGCTTTTGACTCTGTGTCTTGGAATTTTATTACAAAAACTTTAAATTTCTTCAATTTTGGACCATCACTTATTAACTGGATCAACCTTTTTCAAAAAAATATACGCTCTGCAGTTAACATAGGAGGGAACTTATCCATTTTTTTCACTATCGAGCGTGGATGCCGTCAGGGGGACCCTGTTTCTTCATATATTTTTATCTTATGTGCTGAAATTTTATCGATTCTGTTAAGAAATAATTCTGATATCAGCGGTATTGTTGTAAATAACAGAGAAATTCTTTTATCACAGTTTGCTGATGATACGTCTGTTATCCTTGACGGTTCAGAAAAATCTTTAAATGTAACGCTACAACAACTTAACTATTATGCCAGAATTTCAGGTCTTAAAATGAATTTCACCAAGACCCAGGTAATCTGGATAGGCAGTGAAAAATATAGTAATAATAAATATACAACAGAGCACAATCTTTTGTGGGGAAGTACACGTTTTAATTTGCTAGGCATTGAATATGATGTTGATTTACATAGAGTAGTTAAATTAAACTTTGATAAGAAACTTGTTAAACTTAAATCTCTCATAAGTTCGTGGAATAGAAGAAATCTCACTCCAATAGGTAAGATAACCATTATTAAAACATTGCTAATTTCACAATTTAATCATCTTTTTATAGCTCTTCCAAACCCACATGACTCTTATATAAAAAAAGTAAATAACATATTATACAAATTTTTGTGGTGCGGAAAAACTGATAAAGTTAAACGTGATGTTATAATTAAGTCATACGAACATGGTGGTTTGAAAATGATTCATTTAAAATCTTTCATAACAGCACTAAAGGCAACGTGGGTACGGAGGATCTATAAAGAAGATGCTAGTTGGACTTTAATTCCTGAAAACTACATGGATAAGTTCTCTTTAGCTAATTGTGGAATTCATAAATTAAAAATTACATGTGAAGAATGTAAAAATAAATTTTGGAAACACGTTTTAGAAGCATGGTATCAAACAATAGTGTCGTCCAATTTATATAGTGAAAAAATATGTGAAAATCCTTTGTGGTATAATCACAATATCCAAACAAACAATAAGACTGTTTTCTGTAAAGAGTGGTATAGAAAAGGAGTGCTTTTTATATATGATGTAATTAAAGAAGATGGTTCTTTTTATAATTTTGTAGAATTTCAACATAGATATGATATAAGGTCCAATTTTTTAACTTTTCATAGTATAATTAGTGCTATAAAACAGTTTATAAATAGTAAACAAGAAATCTTTGCTTTAGAAAAGAGTATTTGTTTACCTAATATACCTTTAAATCTTAATATTATATTAAGGAGGACTAAAGGGGCACAGGATATTTATGCTGTTTTATGCCGAAATGATACAAAACCCACGTCACAAAGGAAATGGTCTACGGTTTTTAACATTCAGGACAAATTATGGATACAGATTTATGCATGTCCTTTTAAAATTACTGCAAGTACTAAATTAAGATGGCTTCAATACCGAATTAACCATAGAATCTTAACTATAAACACACTCCTACAAAAAATGGGAATAAAACAAAATTCAACTTGTACTTTTTGTAAAAGATTTCCAGAAACAATTGAACATCTATTTTGGGATTGTGGTAAAGTATGTGAAATTTTGAGAGAACTAAAACAATTGCTTGCAACCAGTAATATTGATTTGAATTTTGACAAACAGGAATTTATATTTGGACAATTCAGTTCAAAGGATGCTGATTTGATAGTGGATAATCTTATCCTATTATTGATTAAACAATACATTTTTAAAATGAAATGCCTAGAAATAAAACTCAATATAACAAGTTTAAAGAATCACATTCATTTCGAACTTAAATCTCATAAGATATTGATAATTAAGCATAAAAACTGCAAAAATAATATAGTCTTGCTTAATAAAGTAGAAAAATGGCTTCTCTTATAAAATAATTGGAACAATTATCATTATACTATAAAGAAAAGTTTGCAATCCCCCCCCCCCCCCCCCCCCCCTGTGAGTGTGTATGTGTATATGTGTACTATGTGTACAGTATATAATTAGTCTCTTGTAAAGAGGTGTCCGTTGTGAAGGGAATTGTAATCAATGTAATGTATGCTTGATGCTTTGTGTGTAAATGTGTTGTTTATAAAAAAGAAAAACTGAATAAAAAAATAAATAAATAAATAAATAATTATAGTACAGTACCATTTTTTGCAATTCATTGTACTTTTGATTTCAATTAGATTACAAAATCTGCGATTCAACACTGCATACATGGTGTTTCTAGTTATATATTGAAATACAATATGGCAAAGTAGTTTGGTAACAATTTGGTTCTACAAAGTAAAAGACAATATAAAAGTTTAAAACTCCTATCATAAATTGAATAAGCCTATAGATTGCCACTGATAAAAATTGGTTGTGTAGAATGGATATATCCAGTACACAGAAATGGGCAAAACTTGCGTGGTATTCCAAATATTAAATATAAATACATGTACTATATTTGTACCGTTTTTAGCAACATATTTTCTATATTATGATTGAAAATGCAATGTGCAAATATAAAAGTAATGAGCTTGTATTGAGAGAGGTTTATATCAATAAAATCTACCTATATAATTACATCTGCTCTGCATCCTTCCATGGAGATGCATTGCGTAGGCAAATGTTGTTATGAGACTTTTACAACATTTGCTATTCTAACGTCATCAATCTCTATTGTGACGTCATCAATTTCATTGTTGTCAACACTTGATTTGTTGTTCGAGAACTGTTCGAAATAACTAAATAAAGCATAACTACTCTATATTCAAGCAGATATTGGTATGGTCCTATTACACACATTTCTATTGCTGACAAACTTACATAAAGCCCTACCGGGCTTTATTAAGTTTGTCATCGATAGCAATAAATAGCGTTGCCAATCGGCCCCAAAACGTGAGACAATCGTAGGAGGACCCCAATGAGCGTGGTCTGGTAGGGTGGGATCTCCTAGGTCTGGAAGCTGCACGCTTATTTTGAACGTGCACAAAATAAGCTAGCCGGGTCGTGTCCAACAAAAAGCGAGGCAAATTCTTATTTAGAACGTAGTGGGAACGCTATTATCGTACAAACAGCGTGATAGCATTGTGGTGAGATCTCTGTGGCCGTAATAAAAATGCAGCATCATCGGCAACTATTTCAAGCCGTTTTCAAGAAGTTGAAAAAAGGAGGTAGTGTCTTTCAATCTAAGTTCTCTCAGCAGTCATAATGCCCAAACTGGAATTTCCTGTCTGAAGCCAGTCATGGTCGTACCCAGTATCTTCTTGGGCTCCTCCTCCTCTGTATTACTTCTTCCATCCGGATTTCAACCAGCATCTGCTCGTGTTGGAGCAGAGCCAGTTGAATCAAATCAGCATCAGGTCCGTTCATCTTCGAAGTTAGGAAGGAAATGAGGAGTTGCTTGAACACCCCCGATATATATAGACATCGCCACAAATTGTACTAGAAGCGTACTAGAAACGGCATCGTCCTAAAGTCTTCTAGGTCTGTGTTACAACGTAGTATGGTCATGTATGTTGTACTGCAACGTAGTAGAAATGACCGCTTAGTTGGAGGAATTGGTCTAGGTGTACGTTTGACGTAGGGGCATCGCAGTGCAGTCGTGATGTAGTCTTTAATTTCCTAAATTGCTGGATTTTGACAGCGATAATGCCCCGAGTTTTCAGATCGGGGAAGATCGGGGTGATCGACATGGTCTTCGTAAAGTCGCACAGCTGTGTGAACGGGGTATTCAATATTTGATATAACACGTTTGAAACTAGGGACCTTGACAATAACTAAAGGTCAATATAAACCCTCGCTCCCAGAATGCTCCTTGCCAAGTATTTCCCCGTATGCATCTAGGTAGATCTAAGTTTGATGCTTAGCAGGGTAGATGGCAAGTAAGATGATCATTTGTTCGATTCTTATGATTCTTTTTTATCACAGAGGTGAACCACGAATCCAAATTCTAGCATACAGTCTTATTTATTCTATTTAAAAAAACACTTCACTGACAGGAATTGGAAAAAGAATCTCACAGTTTGTGCCCATGCTGAGCGAAATCGAGCTAACAAAATATGAATAGATTTCTTGCAATACATGTATATATGTTCCCTATACGCTAGGGCTGAAACTATAAACATACCTCACGATACGGTACATTGTACGTATCGCGGTACGATGCCTACGGTACGATACGTATCACGATACAACTATCTGCTTTTGTAGCTGTAAATTGATACAGAATAATATATTCACTGGTCTTCACAAAGGCGTTTCCTAGGTTCGTTAAACTAAGCATATTTATTTAAGCAAAAAAAAAAAAAAAAAAGTATTCAACCAAATATGAAATGGTAAAAATAAAGTATGCAAAAAATATTATCCGTCCTTATAAATATATAAAATTTATTCATTTTACAGCAATTATAAAACACTTTTTTACAATTTATACTAATCAGTCTTGATAGCCCGGATGTTAGCGTGCGGAGGTCTAGCTGGGGGAGCAAACCGGAGTACCCGGAGAAAACCAACGTGGTCGGGCAGGTGACCCAATACCTTTTCACGTCCGATTGGGTAATCGAACCCCGACCGTCTTGGTGAAAGGCAAGTGCGCTATCCACTGCGCCACCCGACCTCCCGTCCTTCTGTAACCTAACACCAGTTAGACTTTATTTTGCTCAAGTTCGAACTTAGTTTCAGTCTTTGTATATTGTACATACACTGTACATACAAGGTTTCACCAAAATTGATCGATATTTAGCCATTAGTGTGCCGCTTGGCCGATAATTCGGCCACGCTAAAAAGACCCTTGACTGCCACATGTGGCCAATCGGCCAGCTAGTCAAAACGTCGATTTCCGATGACGTCACAGTACATAATTGTTTGATGTCTCTCCCTCACTCCTGAGAGTAAATATTGTAGCGCTACTCCACTCATTTTTACATTTATTCGGGGCTTTTTCTGAACTCATGTCAGTGTTGGAATCAATTTATTGTATATCCTAGAAAAGGCTCTTTCGGAGAAGCAAACGAACTTCTCTACTACAGTAGTTGTAAAGAGGGGAAAGCTGAAAATTCCAACCAATCAGATGATTGAATTTTTTGAAGGTCCAATGAACGCAATTGTCGAACAACTTGAACGCCTTTTCAAGAAGAAATCATTTGATCGTGTTAACACTGTCTTAATTGTTAGAGGGTTTTCGGAAGCAGACCACATGAAGAAAAAGTCGTCTTTCCCTGAAAAGGTTGCAATTCGTCCGATTGAAGCCAACCTGGCCGTCCTGAAGGGTGCAGTAATGTTCGGGCACTCCCCACAGGCAATCTGTGAGCGGGCAAGCCCAAGGACATATGGGATCTGCACAAATGTTCCATATGACGAAAGCAAACATCATAGAATACACCATTGTGTCTGTGATGGAAACGAAATGGCCACCGATATTTTCAAGGTAATGGTGAAGATTGGTCAGCCCCTTATCATGGGTAAAACGAAGGTGGAACACGTATATCATCCAACGCATGCTTCAGACACCGTAGCTACAGTGGAAGTATACGAGTCAACAGCAGAATCTCCGGTGTATACGAGCGATCCAGGTTGTCGTCGGTTAGGAGAATTACGTGTAAAAATACCGGACAACTCCCGTGGCAAATCACGGAGGATCGCGGTAGCATTACATTTCGGATTCACCGAACTGAAAGTCACCGCAACTGAAGAAGGTACAAACCACACGGCGGAAGCTAAGTTCGACTGTCTGAGTACTAGACCATAGCATGCTAGCTGTTTGCTATTCCACGACAACGCAATTCTGTGATGCGAGTATGTGTGTCATATTTTCATACAAAGATGCATTTCGTGTGGTGTTTTGTTTTGATCCATAAAAATCAAGTGCAAACCTTGTATCGCACACATGCATTATCGGTACCGTTTAACGTCCTTGGTGTAATGCCAAAACTTATCACAAAATTGTCTGACAATAACCACAGAACAGCACGTCGGACATAGATGCAGTATCTACGATTTTATAACATGAAACAGAATTCACACACGTAGAAGCCTCCAGTTTTAGACTGACAATCCTTCACTATTTCTGTGATAGTGAGAGAATGATATGTTATGGAATGGAAACATTTAATGATACCAGTCTTAGTCACAATGGAGATCTCATCTTACAGGTATATTGAGAGATACATGTGAAACATCAATATTTAATTTCAGAAAATAGGAGTTTAGAGGTGAACTTTGTTTCTAACAACCAGTAAAGCACTATCATAAAGCGCAGTGTTTAAAAACCGGTAATGAAACATTAATGTAGAGCATCAAATGTTACGCTTACTGCGATTAAGAATATATCAAAAAAGTACCTCCTTTCTTTTCAAAAGATTGGCTAAATACTGTGACTGGATTTGCAGGACACGGTCATCAAGGTTTAACTGAAAACATCCTGTACTGGCAGGCGGAATCCAAACAATGGGTTCCCGTGGCAGTCGTAGGTCCAGTGTTTTCTTAATTATTTTTCAAAATGTTCAGTTTATCTTTATTGTATTCTCCGTTTAATGGAATACCCAAATTCATCAATAAAAATAAGAAAAAGTTGAATTTTGTTTCTTTGATGATGAAAATTAGATAAACAAAATACAAGAATATATTTATTCAATGAAATGAATTAAGTAACTGTGATTTTATATACTGATATAAGAAATTACTGTTCTTTTTCAATATGAACAAATGATTGACAACAGGATATGTTTCATGTTTTGTGTATGCTATTTAGTTCTTCTCTATTTGTTGTTAACCATTATTGGACTATATACTATCCATATTAATTGTTTAAACTCTACATTGTATAGTGGATTTATCTTTCAAGAGTTAAACATAGTTTAGAGAGAGAAAATGTATATACACAAATGAAGATTTTTTTTATTTGATACAATGTATATCACGTATTTAAACAATGAATGTTTTAGCAAATGCTGTTATGGTCCTATAACACACATTGCTATTGATGACAAACTTAACAAAGCCCGCTAGGGCTTAATGTAATTTTGTAAGCAACAGAAATGTGTGTTATCGGACCATACAAGTATTTGCCAAAAAATTCATTATTTATATTTACATGTTGATAGAGTAATTATGCTATATTTAGTTATTTCGAACAGTTTTTGAACCGCAAATCAAGTGCTGGCAACAATGAAATTGATGACGTCACAATAAAGATTGATGACGTTACAATAGCAAATGTTGTTATATTCTCATAACAACATTTACCGTCAATGCATTACAATGGAAGGGTACAGAGCAAAATTAATGTAAATATAGTGTTATATAGCTATTGGCTGGATTCGAGTGTAAATTATGTTTTGTTGAACTAGAAAGTGTATGAGACAGAGGATGAGGAAAAATCAAAGGATTTGTCAACAAATTATTTGATGCGATGATAAAACCCAATAAACAAGTTCTTTAATAGTTTAATTTGTTATTTACAGTCTCTTTTGAATATTGTCTGTTGTTAATTCAATGTGGTATGATGTATGATTATTGGTATATGTTGCAAAGTGATACCTGGTCTGATACGCAATCTGCAAAATATCCCCTTTAAATCATTTGTTCAAACAAAATAACCATTAACGAATGTCAACACATATGCTACTTGATGAAAATAGGAAGATAGGAAAAAATATGTTGACATATTTTATTGATGACCAGTAAGAATTATAATAGAGTGTTTATTTTGTTAATAATTAATGTTTTCTAAATTACCTCCATTATGTTTTGTTTCAAGCTAATCTTGTTTGAAGCATCAGGTGTCATCACACATTCAGACAATGGGTGACATCACACGTACTAAAGGACAAGTAGTGATGTCACATGTAATATTATCCTATGGGTTATATTACAAAAATCGGCAGAAAATATGTGATTGGTCATTGGACAGTAAGTGGCATCGGATATACTGTAATATACATTAGCTGACATCCCACGTGTAGACATGAGGTGAGTACATCACACTTACAACTTTACCACTATAAAGTATTTATAAGTAGGAACAAGCACACGTATATATATTGGACCGTTAGATATCGGTGACCCCATATTTACCTTTAAACAATTACCTTACTGTGAGGCATGAGGTGAATCACACTAACAAATAAGGTTCTCTTGATGAGTTAATACAAATGAGTGCATGAGACATTCTCAACTTTAAATGTGATTTCGAAAAAGAAAGCCATGTTAAGACTATTTATTATTCAAAACTGCCTGATTCTTTATGGATTAAATTTTTCCTTGATCCTATATTTTTAATCGTTTCACTAGCTTCATTTCACACTTACAACTTTACCACTATAAAGTATTTATAAGTAGGAACAAGCACACGTACATATATTGGACCGTTAGATATCGGTGACCCCATATTTACCTTTAAACAATTACCTTACTGTGAGGCATGAGGTGAATCACACTAAGACATAAAGGTCTCTTGATAAGTTAATACAAATGAGTGCATGAGACATTCTCAACTTTAAATGTGATTTCGAAAAAGAAAGTCATGTTAAGACTATTTATTATTCAAAACTGCCTGATTCTTTATGGTTTAAATTTTTCCTTGATCCTATATTTTTAATCGTTTCACTAGCTTCATTTTCCCAACATAAAGATATACAAAGTTTGTTCTTGTGTCAGGATGTTTTTTTTCTCCTATTGACGATATGCACTGATAACGTGTATCCGAATAGATAGCACTATGGTTTACGTTGGTAATGACACACTGATATAGTTATCATTAATATCAATACCTGTTGAAGCATATAAAGGTATTCGATATCCACCCACCGGAATGTGTGCATGTGTGTGTATCGGTGTTACTGTAGTATCTAAATATATAGATAACACATCATATGACACCACTATCACTAAGTGAAGGATAGTTAAATGATGGCTATAAGTTCATGAAGAAGGAGTATAATCTTCTTACTGAAAATACATGACACATTGCAATATGTCTACGTTAACTTATCTTGATGTGTGCTTTTTAACCCTGTTTTCCGTGCTTATGGTGGAAACTGGGTTCGTCTCGGCTAAAGACTGTGTAGGAACTGGATCATGTTCGTGTCAATTTACAGATGGCACAACCATTGATTTAACTCCCCTATCCAGCAAGGATGTGAATAATCCAACGTAAGTATTATCGGGATCTTTGCGACAGCATTTAATTTATAGAAAAGGGACCAATGGCATATACATTGCATACTCACAACAATGTGTTCCTATTCAGAGCTGTGTTTCGACACGGTGTATTTAAAGAAGACAAATTTAGAACAAACCATCGTTTTCTCAGGTTTACTTCTCTTTGTAGAGGAGAACACATATTTAATTTTACTTTTTCCGGATTAGCAACATTTGTAAAACGTAGGATTGGAGGTGTATTGCATTTTTCTGAAATTACTTTTCTTTCCAACAAATGTTATTAGTCACAATGCATCACAACATGATGTTAAATGTTTTATTTCTGAGAAGTACATCTGTGTTAAAAAAACCACACCCACATTTAAAGTTTAAATAATTGCAAGTATATTACATCGTTGACAAATGAAGATAAATGATAGATGTTCTCACAAAGAATTGCACGTTTACAACCAGAATTCTACACGATTAAATAGGTTTTCGTGAGATTATCAACAATCATTTTTCAGATTTATGGACATTTCTGGACCTACCCCTCTTGATATTTATTCCTGGAATCCTTGTGCAGATTTTACAGAGGGACCAGACGGTTGTACAAACGTGGCGGTATGAATACAGTTTTTAACTTTATGGTGTATTTTTGTTCTCATCAATGTGTTATAAAATGCACACATTCTACACCGGAACTGTTTATGGGGTTTAACGTCCTATCAACAGCTCATGTCATTTTAGACGTGTCTCCATGTATGTTGTGTATGCGTGCATGTGTGTATGTGTACGTGCCTCCTTGTGATAGCGCAGATCTGATGCCAACTTCATAGTGCTATCTCGCTGAAATACCATGCCGAAGGCATTCAGCACAGCATTCCTCCCGGTCACATTATAATGACAACGGGTGAACCAGTTGTTGCCATAATGCTGATTTTTAAGTATTGAATATCACCTACCATTTTAAGGGCATTGGTATGTCGCGGTCTGGGTACAGAACCCATTGCATTGGCGATCGTTCAACATTAAAGCCAAAGGTGAGGTATTGCCAAGCAAAGCGCTTTAGAATTTAAGGTACCTAGAAATAGAGAGAAATATCAAGGTAAAAATACTGCATGGGTGCAGCAGATTTATTGTGGTCGCTTTTGTTACCCCAAGTAGAGGGCGCAAACGCAAATCCCCAGTTCTGCAGAGGGTTCCAACATTAGTTGCCTCTTGCGATATATGCATTGTGGAACAACAGATATATTCTTAATACCAGGAATGACAACAAACATATTTTTAGACCACCATCATCATACGGTGGGCTATTCAAAGCGCCCTTCGTCCAATCGATTTATTGTTGCCTTTTCACAGAATTACAAGAGGGATCTTTCTCAAATTGGATATGTGAGTTTTCCTTGGTCTAAACTTGTGCATGTTTACTTAATAGACAGATCGGACAAACAAAATGGTCGACAGACGGCCATCTTTTAAATTTTACAGTTAAGATTTGTTATCTCTTTTTCTAAGAAATTCCCTAAGGGATCTTTCTCAAGGTGACCCCTGATTTAAAGTTGTGCTTGATTGCTTTTGAGACTAATTGGAAAGCAGAATGACAGACAGGTGGGCATATTGAATTAAGACATTTAAGTTTTGTTAATTCTCCTTATCAGAAAGTACTGAAGGGGAACTCCTAATCATGTTTTCTTGCTCCCCTCCTTTAACATACCACTGGACAAAATGAGAATACATCCCTCATTGACAGCATTTGTAATTATGTAATAACTACAAAGTTTAAGCATTTCGCATATCGTAATGCAATAACATTTGTCATAGTGGCAGAATGAAAAAAAACCAAAGAGGTTTAAGTTAACGTCAAAGATTGTCGTTTTGGGATTTCCAGCATGGAACCGGATAATAGGGGAAATTAAGAGCAACGAAGGTTAAAAGTTATCTTTTGTAGATCTGATAAAGATTCTTTGACGTGGACGCAAAGATTCTTGTTCTGGATCTTCTGTTTAATTTTGTTCTTCCTTTTCAATTCAATACCGTACCATTTCCGAAAAAGAATTGATTCTTAAGGATATGGGAGAATTCAAGAAAGGAATGTTTTGAAACTTTTTCTTACCGATATATGATGTGATGATATCACACAATCTTGCTCATTTCAATCACTCGTTTCGTGGGTAAAGGTTCAAATACATTTAAACGTTATTTTGCATGATTATCGTATTGTTCCTATGTATATTAAGTCACGTAATATAATACATCGTTGACACCCGCTAGACAGATAAAGACTGAAGTCAATGTCAAATATGTGCAAGTTTGTTTGGTAAGTTTGTTTGGTGTTACATTTGAATCGAAAGTCTGAGAAAAAAATTGCAAAACTGCATTTTTGTGAAAATGAGGCCATTATGAATAGTGTTCTTCCTTTTGTGTTATCGACGACACCATCAAGCTAAATATAAATCAACTGTAAGTAAAGTCCCTTCGTCGTACCGAAATGTTTGGTTGTGTTAACAAAACCACTAGGCAAACTTATGAGCATTATGAAAGATATCGGCGTTCATGTCACAGAAACAATTAGCATTTCTTAAATAAATATCAGGTACATGTATTGAAAAATTAGGTAAAACATACTCATTTCATGCAATTTGGATGGAAACTAGTTATATAAATCAGTTTTGAAATTAGTAAACATTGTTACGATGGATCTTACACTAACGTTTTCTATATTATGTCTAGCCAACACCGTTTCAATCTTTCACAGGTTTGTAATATCCACCAAAATATCCCTAATGCTGCGTACTTTAGCTTGGGAACTACTGACTCGGTGACATTTACAACAGATGATCTGGGACAGGTGACGATGAACTACCAATTTACAGGAACCGGTACTCCAATTGTCCAACGGTAAGTAAATAATGGTTTTACCTCTCAAATAGTAAGTGTGTATTTCATGTAATCTACTGTGTAACGGTAAGTAAATAATGGCTTTAAATTGCTTTTGCCCACTGTAATAATGTAACAGTAAGTGTATATTTTATATTACCTACTGTGTAATGGTAAATAAAGAACGCTTGATTGTTCTCACTCTAATAGTAAGTGAGTATATCATGTTACCTACTGTGTAACGGTAAGTATAAAAGTTTACTTATTGGCTACTGTTGACGGTAAGAATTGAATGGTTTTTATTCACTGTACATAATAGTTAGTGTATTATATCATGTTACCTAATGTGTAACGGTAAGTACATCATGTTTTACCTACTATAATATGAAGTGTGTTATTTCATGTTACCTAATGTGTAACCGTAAGTACATCATGTTTTACCTACTATAATATGAAGTGTATTATGTCATGTTACCTAATGTGTAACGGTAAGTACATCATGTTTATACCTACTATAATATGAGGTGTATTATGTCATGTTACCTACTGTGTAACCGTAAGTACATCATGTTTATACCTACTATAATATGAAGTGTATTATGTCATGTTACCTAATGTGTAAAGGTAAGTACATCATGTTTTACCTACTATAATATGAAGTGTGTTATGTCATGTTAGCTAATGTGTAACGGTAAGTACATCATGTTTTTACCTACTATAATATGAAGTGTGTTATTTCATGCTACCTACTGTATAACGGTTAGTATCGAATGCTTTTTAACTACTCATATAGCTAGTATGTTATATTACATACTGTGTTACGGTAAGTGGAGGCTTACTGTTAATTTATAATAAGTTAAGTACGTATGAATTACTGTTAAATTAAAGTCTTTGATCAACAACTACTTATCGTTCTGACTGTTATGTCAACTCATGGCGAACATTGTGATGTCACCTATTGTCTTATGATGTGACGTCATCTTCTGTCTAACGGTTATGTGTCACTAACTGTCTAACGGTGTGATGTCACCTACTGTCTAACGGTGTGATGTCACCTTCTGTCTAACGGTTATGTGTCACGTACTGTCTAACGGTGTGATGTCACCTTCTGACTAACGGTGTGATGTCACCTTATGTCTAAATGTTTGATGTAACTTACTGTCTATATATGTAATGTCACCTACTATCTAACGGTGTGAAGTCACCTTCTGTCTAAATGTGTGATGTAACTTACTGTCTGTATATGTGATGTCACCTCCTGTCTAACGGTGTGAAGTCACCTTCTGTCTAAATGAGTGATGTAACTTACTGTCTATATATGTGATGTCACCTACTGTCTAACGGTGTGATTTCACCTTCTGTCTAACGGTGTGATGTCACCTTCTGTCTAAATGTGTGATTTCACCTACTGTCGAAATTGGTGATGTCACTTACTGTCTATATATGTGATGTCACCTACTGTCTAACGAAGTGAAGTCACCTTCTGTCTAAATGTGTGATGTTACTTACTGTCTATATATGTGATGTCACCTACTGTCTAACGGTGTGAAGTCACCTTCTGTCTAAATGTGTGATGTCACATACTGTCTAACGGTGTGAAGTCACCTTCTGTCTAAATGAGTGATGTAACTTACTGTCTATATGTGTGATGTCACCTACTGTCTAACGGTGTGAAGTCACTTACTGTATAACGGGGAGATGCCATCTATTTTCTAAGTGAGTGTAATATTACCTTCCGTCTGTATAATGATAAATGTAGTGTCACTTACTCTGTACCTAACAGACAGTACAATGGCGTTTCTAATGGTAACTGTCAAATGATTCATTATCGATAGATAGGTGAGGTATAACGATAATCAAGTGGTAAGGTCATTTTACCTGGGTCTCTGTATCAAGTTCATCTACCTGTATGAAGCACTTGATGACACATGTCCTTTATTTAAGGCATAGGTACATAACGTACATTATACACACAAGCATCGGCCATATCTTTACTACAAGTCAACACTTGACCTTATCTCTAATATAACATGTAGGTCTGTACCGTGAGTTATGTGCCTCCCAAATACGATCTGACAAAACTTGTTAATATTAGGCCGCATGAACCACTCGCCTTACATTGAATTGCATTCTGACCAGAGATGCATAACACAAAACATAACAACACAATAAGTGTTTAGTACACAGACAGACAGGTTACTCTTTAATGTCATGGTTATGGATATCGTATTTGTGATAATTGAGTATAATATTTATTCAATCTCGTAAATTTATTCAAAATAAGAAAATATTAATTCATTGAAATTATTTAACCATTTCAAAAATATTTTCATTTTATTGAATATTTAATTTATTAATCGGAAATCGACATTTGTTTATATCGTTTATGCTTGTTACATAAATAGAACATTTTAAGATGGTCGTTGATATCCAATGTTACAGTTATGACGTCAAAAACGTATGCGATTGCATCCATAGCTTATATGAATAACATCTAAATTTGGTAGAAATACAAAATGGCAACGTACTAAAAGTAAAGTATTGGATAATAAACTTATCTCTCTGGATATAAATGAGTTGGATATTCTCTTTATTTACTACCCATGTAGGATCTGCAAATGATATCCATTTTTAGAGGTTTTGAATCGGCCTTATCAACACAATAAGGTCACCAAGCTCAAATGGTTTATAACGGGTAATTAGGTAGGTCAAGGTCATTTTCTTGTTTGATAAATCATTTTATAGACACAAGATAAAGTTCCAAAGCACTCAGTGACTTCAGTAGAATAGTTTAACACGAAATAAGATAGACTTAAAGGTAATTATATCGTATTGTTTTTCGTAGTCAAAGTTTGGTTTGGTTTAATTTTGTTTAACGACCTATTAACAGCATAGGTAATTTAAGGACGTGCCTCCATGTGTATAGTGTAAGCGTGCATGCGTGTATGTATGCTGGAGACAGGGAATATTAGTGTTGGTCTTGGTCACACAAGAATATGCTTACAGAATCACTGTAGTGTCGTGTATGTATGCTGGAGACAGGGTGTGTTGGTGTTGGTCTTGGTCAAAGTAGAATATGCTTACAGAATCACTGTAGTGTCCTGTATGTATGCTGGAGACAGTGTGTGTTGGTCTTGGTCTTGGTCAAAGTAGAATATGCTTACAGAATCACTGTAGTGTCGTGTATGTATGCTGGAGACAGGGTTTGTTGGTGTTGATCTTGGTCAAAGTAGAATATGCTTACATAATCACTGTAGTGTCGTGTATGTATGCTGGAGACAGGGTTTGCTGGTGTAAGTCTTGGTCACAGTAGAATATGCTTAGATAATCACTGTAGTGTCGTGTATGTATGCTGGAGACAGGGTTTGCTGGTGTTGGTCTTGTCAAAGTAGAATATGCTTACAGAAACACTGTAGTGTAGTGTAGTATGCTGGAGACAGGGTTTGTTGGTGTTGGTCGTGTCAAAGTAGAATATGCTTACAGAATCACTGTAGTGTCGTGTATTATGCTGGAGACAGGGTTTGTTGGTGTTGGTCTTGGTTAAAGTAGAATATGCTTACAGAATCACTGTAGTGTGGTGTAGTATGCTGGAGACAGGGTTTGTTGGTGTTGGTCGTGTCAAAGTAAAAAATGCTTACAGAATCACTGTAGTGTCGGGTGTGTATGCTGGAGACTGGGTTTGCTGGTGTTAGTCTTGGTCAAAGTAGAATATGCTTACATAATCACTGTAGTGTCGTGTATGTATGCTGGAGACAGGGTTTGTTGGTGTTGGTCTTGGTCACAGTAGAATATGCTTACAGAATCACTGTAGTGTCGTGTGTGTATGCTGGAGACTGGGTTTGCTGGTGTTAGTCTTGGTCAAAGTAGAATATGCTTACAGAATCGCTGTAGTTTCGTGTATGTATGCTGGAGACAGGGATTTTTGGTGTTGGTCTTTGTCAAAGTAGAATATGCTTACAGAATTACTGTAGTATCATATTGATACCGATTGTCTCTAGGATTTGGTTAGATTAAGGATGTGACTTGGTGTTTTCCATGATGCAAAGCAGTGAGTTTCGGCAACGTTAAAGTAGATTTCGCCTGCTGCATACTTATGAAACAAGGGGTTGCTTCCCTTCCCTTGCTAAAGGGGCGGTGCTTAATAGGGGAACTTTGAGGAAATATTAAAAGCACTTCTTATTGTGTACGAATGGAGGAATTTGACAAAAAATGTTGTGAAGAGCATCCTTAGGCAAAGGATGTCGTGTATGTATGCTGGAGACAGGGTTTGTTGGTGTTGGTCGTGTCAAAGTAGAATATGCTTACAGAATCACTGTAGTATCGTGTATGTATGCTGGAGACAGGGAATGTTAGTGTTGGTCGTGTCAAAGTAGAATATGCTTACAGAATCATCACTGTAGTGTCGTGTCTGTATGCTGGAGACAGGGTTTGTTGATGTTAGTCTTGGCCACAGTAGAATATGCTTACAGAATCACTGTAGTGTCGTGTATGTACGCTGGAGACAGGGAATGTTAGTGTTGGTCGTGTCAAAGTAGAATATGCTTACAGAATCATCACTGTAGTGTCGTGTATGTATGCTGGAGACAGGGTTTGTTGGTGTTAGTCTTGGTCACAGTAGAATATGCTTACAGAATCACTGTAGTGTCGTGTATGTATGCTGGAGACAGGGTTTGTTGGTGTTGGTCTTGGTCAAAGTTGAATATGCTGACAGAATCACTGTAGTATCATATCGATACCGATTGTCTCTAGGATTTGGTTAGATTAAGGATGTGACTTGATGTTTTCCATGATGCAAAGCAGTGAGTTTCGCAATGTTAAAGTAGATTTCGACTGCTGCATACTTATGAAACAAGGGGTTGCTTTCCTTCCCATGCTAAAGGGGCGGTGCTTAAAAGGGGAAATTTGAGGAAATATTAAAAGCACTTCTTATTGTGTACGAATGTAGGAATTTGAAAAAAATGTTGTGAAGAGCATCCTTAGGCAAAGGAAACTCATTTTTGTATAATTGAAGAGTGTGGATTCTCTGTTAGCATAGGGGCAGAGCCAAATTGGGGTGAACATTAATTAAAATTCTCCTCTTCCATACCAATCGAGGGATTTTTAACATTTTTGCTCTAAATTGTTTTAGGGCAAAGATAAATCAACTTGGTATTAAAGGAGGGGCAAAGAGGTGTCGCTCAATAGGGGGGTACTTGATTTACATATTCTCCTTGTTTATTATTTTGGTGTAGAGCATCCTCGGATAAAAGGGTCTTAATTTCGTATTGTAAACAGATGTTGTGGTCACCACGGGGGCAAAGAGGTGGGCACAACAGGGGAAATACTGCTAATTTAAAAACATAATCCTGTTTAAAGATTGTAAGGGTTTTTACCAAATTCAGATTAGTCAACTCTTTGAGCAACAAGGAATCAACGGCATGTAACTTTAGGGTGTGATTCCCCTGGGGGTAAAGGGGCATGGCCAAATCAGGTACATAGAGTAAATCTTCACAGCTTTTTTGTTCTATAGACCTAAATGAAACAATTTGATAAAGATAACACTTGGTCCAATGCGATTCAATGTCGTATACACCATGCACCCATCCCAATGGGAACAGAGGGATGGGACCAATTAATGTAAGGGTACTGCTGAGAAACAGATCCAAAATTTGGAAATATTTGTAGTACTGGAAGATATTTTGCCATGCTAACTTATATATCCAGGTGAGCGACACAGGCCACCAGGCACCTGGGCCTCCTGTTTTCTTTCCGTTCTTTGTTATGGAACGCTGAATTGTCCATTCAAACTTTTGTGGTTCCCTGTTTTTAAAAATAGTCTTTGAATCATACTCTTTAGATTTTAATCTTTATTTTCGATGCTGTCTCGAAAGCTGTCAGTTGACAAAGCCGCCATTTTTCCTTATCTGTTGCAAAGACGTATTGTATGTATTATGATTAATACTTCTTATCAATAGTACTAAACCTAAATTGTTTCTTGTAGAAATTCCCACATCCTCTTGACATGTGACCAATCCCAGGAAGGGACCTTGGTGGCTCAAGGACCATTACCCGACCCTAGCAGTCCCGATTATGTAAGTGTTATCACTACCATATAACCAAGAGATCCCTTACATAGAATGTAAACATCATACACGTGTTTACTATACAGGACTACTCTAGTCCTTGTCATGTTAACACTTACAGGATCTCCCCAGGGATGATTATTCATATGCGCATGGCGTTAAAGACAAACGACACTCACATTCACTTTGATTAGGTTTTGTTTTATTGGGTTACGTGTCCTGTTAACAGCTAATGTCATTTAAGGTCTTGGGTATAGTGTAGGCATATGACTGAATGGGGTGCATTGGCGTATTTGCCTCTTTGTTATAGCGCGAAACTGGTGCTGACGTTACAGTACTACCAATAAAATACCTTGCCGAAGGCATCCAGCACAGTTTTCCAACTGGTCACGTTATCCTGACAACGAGTAATTAGCTGTTGCCTTTTTCTTAACTGTTAAGCGTTTAGCAGGGAATAGCAAGTACCACCATCATGTTTTTGTTTTATCCCGGCCTGAAAACAACACATTGCCTTTCCCACTCGGGCGAACGTTCAAAACTAGGCAAACAGTGAGATATTGCCAATATTTGATATTCCAGGAGTTACGCTCACTTACGCTCTCTGCACCCCTGTAATAATTCATGCCAAACTTGGAGGCACGAAGCAAGCTTTTAGATTGGTTCCGGGTAAAAATATACCCTGACAAATTGGTAGGCTGTTACCTATCCTTTGAACAATGCTGGTCAAGTTTACGGGTACATTGCTGCTTGATTCGATATACATCTAAGGATCCCACAAGTCTACTCGTATCACACACAAGGTTTCACATAAAGAGCCTTTAATTATATTGTGACATATCTCAGGGGTACAAAGAAAGTAGGTGACATTAACCAAGACTTTTCCATGCGTAGATACACGACGAGAGTAGATTAGGATTTATAATGTTATCAATATATAATACCTTTCACGAAATCGATTTAGTCAAACAAATACCAAGATTTAAGGCAAGGGTTGTTTAATTAGTTTCTCTTCAAACGGAGACCAATATTCTGTAGTTGCTACTCTATTTTGATTTCATGGACAGTTTAATAAAATTGAATTATTTAAGAGAATAAACGGGCACCTGTCTTCAGTATAAAGTGGTTTATTATGCAGTTTTTCTTTCTTTCAGTACTTTGGACTGCAAAGTAAATACGTATGCCCAGGGAACTCACCCGGTGGCGGCGGTAAAAGTAGTGCAATGTCTGTCGGAAGCATCCTATGTATAGCGTAAGTGTATCCGTACGTTTTCTTGCATACACGAATTTATTTATATTATCTTAACTTAATTATGATAATAGTAATAATTTGAGGTTATTATATATCGCTTTATTACAGCCTAGCTCGTAGGTTCTCTCAAAGCGGCTCTCAAATTATTATTCGTGGTTATAGGACTTTTGTAACCAGCCAATATCTTTCTAAACTCCATGGGGAACATACAGCCTGTGCTGCCACTTAGGCGCGCACAGCTAGCATTCAAAAGTTCCAGCACTGCCAAACCACGTACCCATGTACAGCTGAGTAGACTGGAACAAGCGGAGAAAAGTATGTTGTTCACAGTGCCGTGACGTGACTCGAACTCGCAACACTTACGTCACGAGCCCAGCGTCCTACCGCTAGACAACCGTGCATCTTAAAATTGTTTTCATAACAAATATATCTGTTTAATTCATGACACAATATAATAAGTACTTCGAAATCCAAGGGTTTCGCTCGATGCACACTTTTACTTTACACTGGAAGTATGTAATGACAAAATCAAAGGCCCTGGCTTAGCTATTTGATCGATTTATGGTTAAAAAATGACCGATACTTAAGCTAAAACATGTCCTTTGAAGATAACAGTGTATCGGCACATGACTTCGTTACATTGTATGATACAGCGCAATTCTTTTTATATTAATCAAAAATTCAAACGAATCTGCTTGAATCATCCGCAAGGTGGCGCGGATAGAGTCTGACATATCACTTCGATGTAGAGAAGATACTTCTATTTAGAGTTCCTGCCCACTGCACTTTTTTTTCTATATTTCAATAACTTTCCCTTGTATTCCTTTTTATATATATAACTGCAGCAAAGTTGGGCCAGCAGGATCGCTTACGCTATGTTTATTGGTCATGAAATTAATAAAAAAAAAAACTAATTAAATGACGTCATTAAATTAATGTACATCACTTTACTTTGGCGTATACTTCATTTCGGGAACTGTGCTTGCTATTTTCAACAATGATAGTATATTGTTATTATCCGTCGGCAAATATTCAATTTCACAACAGATAATACTTGTTAATTAATGTGAAAATCTATCTCAAAAAATATTTATTTGCAGTATAATATCTCGATTTAAAGATATAAAGATATTAAGTCAAAATGCTACATAATATGATATCAATGCTATTTCTGTTTCAGTGTCCTCGTCATTGCCCTGGTATATGTGATAGGAGGTATGTCAATTAATGTCTTCTATAGAAAGCACATCGGCATCGAAAGATTTCCAAATGCGTCATTTTGGCTTTTAGTACCTGGCCTTATCAAAGTAAGAAAATATTCTAGATATCATTTTTGTTTATTTAGAAATACAGTTGCCCTCGTGTCGATGGCTTTAATGCTTAGACACAAATTGTATTTTACATACTGTCCGACCGGGATAACTCAGGTTATGCATAGTTTGTGGATAAAATACCGCAACGGAGATATTTTGCAATTTTTCGCGTTTAGACAAGAGAGACAGACATTCTTTATTTCCACATTTAGAGAAAATTTTGAGAACTGATTTCCTATTTTTCAAAAGCAGTTTGATGTTATTGGTACCTGCTTCCAAAATTTTTCGCCGTTCGTTATCCTACAAAGAACATTTTGTCCGATCTCCTAAAAACACATTGATTGATTTGTCTCCATCTAGAACGAAAAGTCTGTATATGAATGTACATGTATACACTCTTCTTTTTTTATTTTAAAAGACATCTCTACTCGCATATAGTACTGGACATTCAATAATAAAGGGTGTACAATATCATTACACAACTTACATTTCACTACAGTAAATAAACAAGGTTCCATAAGAACTATTCTAACTTTAAGCTGAAACGTACGTAGCGAAAGGTAAGGAGCATTTGTCGTACATTTGCCATACTCAGTTTCTCTCTCCATTTGTGAAAGTAGCAATCAGACATGAATGTGTCAAGTAAGCCTTTCCATTCGTACCGGGCTAACAATAAAGTCTTTGAGTAGACTTAGTAGATTGAACTTCATGAATTTTATTTTTACATCTCTGAGGAATCCTAGCATGTTGGATGATGGATGTGCGTATAGAACACTGCTAATTCTAGCGATGAGCACAATAATTGCATAGCTCTATGACAAAGTTTATTCAAGCATGTCTTTGAGCTTGTTCAAGTAATTCTGCAGATGTCTGGCTTTTGTCGTTCTATAACTCAGACCAGTTAGTTATGCTAGGTATGATTGTCCGCTTCATGATATTAAAACTTGCAGACGGGTTGAGTTCATCTGGGTCTAAGCCGATATTTAGTAACGAGTTCAATAGTTTCTTGCCTTTGGAACATGATTCAGCAATCCCGGTATTAGATTGTAGATTAATTCCCTGAGAAGTGTATCTCTGGAGAAAATGCTTTATAAATTATACTTTTTCTATATATTGCACTTTCAGAGATACACAAAGTAAGTTATCTATCGTAAGAAATAATAGGATATCTCGTGAGTAATCCAAAACCGTAGTTAAAAAAATGGGGGGGGNAAGAAATGCTATAATGTTTTTAATGGTGCGAGACTCGACAAATTTTAAATTTAAATGCTACCTTGTGGATAACGCTAGCCTATCTATTACATAATTTCTTCTGAATACAGTGTATGGTAAATCTCTTAGCAGTAGTCTTTTTTTTTTAGCGATTGTCGCGGTTTTGGTTTTGCGCTAAACTTTCATTGCGCCGACAGAAGTTCATGTATGTTGTAACAAAACTGTATCTATTTCATATTTTGTGGGTGCGCCAATTCGTCATCAATGCGCTAATCTGTTACAATTTGATAGAGCGTTAAAATTTGACCATGCTAATTAAACACGTTTACAGTACATGTGTGTTCCTTACAGCTGATCGTTGTTTCAATCTAGCGTACACGTTCTTTTACATGTTTCAGGATGGCTGTAAATTCGTCATTACGAGAGGAAAAACGACAACTTATGATCGAATATAGGAATATTCTTAACAGTAAAAGTGATTTTGAAACATTTCAGCTGACATTTTGAAATATGATGATGAGTATTGTTACTCAAATCAAAGGCAAAAAGACGGCTCGGAGGTATTTGTGGGAGGTGCACCACTCTGCAAGCTCTCTGAGGGACGCAAATAAAGTTCTTCCGAGTTCGTTCCAAAAATCCTGAATTCACCAAAGGATTGTGTTGGTACACCGTCACTGTTTTTCATTTGAAAGACAACGAAAAGTGCAATAATACAAAACAAATTATAAATAAATGACAGACGAAAATAAATTGAATGAAATACACACCCAACAATCCATCCCCATCCATACCAATATTAAGCTGCTCTGTTTTTGAATTGTAGCGAGACTGAAAAGGTTACTTGATTTATCATGCTTATCCAGATATGGAGTTCAAGACAGAATCAAAACGATTGTTTACAACATCATATGGGTTGTTTTATTTATTTCTTGTCCTTTTATAAGCGATATTTGATATGATACAAACGTTTTTACATTATTTAAATTGTCTATTAACTGTGAAAAAAATCTACATATTAGAAATATCATATGGAGAATAGTATTTGCTCAATGATCATCCCTCTGCGAAAGGAATGCGATTTGCTTTTAGCTGTTAATTAATGATTTTGTCAATGTGTTATGGAGGAATTATCAATTCAACAATTTGGAAAGTCTTTTCAACTGTTTTTGTCGTTCCATGTATTGACTTAATGTAGCGATTTAAGTTGATGAATTTAAATTTAAGATAAATCATTTTTCAGTTAGAATTTTAGTAAAAAAGCAGTGGAGTGGTATTATTGCTATTAGGTCTTTCATTTTAACACCGCGTCATAATTGTAATCGATTGTTGGAGTATCGCTCATGTTTGTCATGAAATACCCATAATAAGCAAAAATATCATATAAAAGAAGATTTTTAATAGGTTTAATTTTAATCTTTGTTTGCATACCAGTTTTTGTACAAGTAATGTCTGTATTACCATCTCCAGCATCAGATGCAGACATTTAACATGAATCGATTGTATATCTTATATTATTGATGCATTAGTATTAATACAATAATACACTTTTTTGTCTTTATTAACAACATTTTGTTTGTTTTCTTTGTAATATTTTTTCGCTTCGAATAAAAAGTAATATTCAAATAATTGGGGATATTTTTTAGACTACTTACTGCAAATAACGAAGACAATCCCAAATATGGCTTGATTACGAATGCTTATCGCTTCCTGTAAAGGAATATATTATCTCGTTGCGATCTTTATAACATAACCAATTTGGAAATGTCCGTATAGTTCATTCTGCTGCTTTACATATTTCGTCGTATATCAATATATTTGCATTTGTATGTTGTTAACACGAAATTTGAAAACAAGTTTTTTCAGTCATTTCTCATAGCCTTTTTCACTATTTTCCTCGAAGAGACTTATTTATGGATATTAATCATTCGTTAAATGAACAATATAATAATATTGCATGCTTAAAAGTGTCAAATTAGTATTAACTTATCATTAAAATTCATTATCTGTCCTTCATACAAGTACCAATTGAAGCAGATATATGAATGTATGTCTGACCAAATTTAGGTAGTTTGAAGCGTCAAAGAAATATTTTGTAAAGATTGCGGAAACAGCAAATATTGAGTGAAAAATACATATAACTATCTATTGTTCAATTGCTTTCTTGATATTAAAAAACACGTTCACCTTTCACATGCTAGCGACAACTCAGTGAATGTGTGTTGCAGATTTTGAAAGTATGGTTGATTCAAGGAGACACAAAAACACGTTGTTTGTTAACTAAACGAAAACGTGTTCAACATAGGACAACAATGACGTCATCGATCTGAATATCAAAAACAAATTTATTGATCGTCATGTTCAACAAATTATATCGATACACATTATAATATATAACAATAACATTCCGATCGCTTTAGCTGACGAGGTACCGTGAAAGATCAAAGCAAAATTGTTCATACACTTGTACAAAACATTGTTCAATTTGTTCATCACAGACATCCGAGATGGACCTGACGTTTTAAGGATATGTAATATAAACGATGTTAACTGATTAATGGAATATGTTCACAACAAAAAGATAAATATACCAATCCAGTACTTGGCTGAGTCTGTTTGCCATCCATGAGTAGCATGGTGAACCCACATCATCTACCCGTAGTTAAGTTAACTCATTCACCCCTGAAGACACAATTGAACTCTTCCAAATCGAAGGTTGGAATAGCTCGTTATGAAATTTAGGGATGAATGATTTAATCGTATGTTATTCCAAAATATGAAGATTCTGCAGTTACCAGTACAAGGACATTATGTATATCATATGTATTGCACATCACCAGATGAAAGGTAAAAGTTTGGGTGTTGATTTAAGATACTCCAGGTAAGCCGGGTCGGAACCGTATCTCTTCATGGCTGATCGCTGCTGCATGGGGATCCCACTGACATTGGTGAGTAGGTAGGCCACAAAGATTGGGGACAGCACGCCTACGTGTTCCCAGCCTTTAAGGACGGTGGATGAAGAAAGGTACAGACCGGACCACATCATAATCTCTCCTAGGTAATTAGGGTACTGTACCATCCGCCAAAGACCTTGGTTTATAAATGTCTTCTACAACAACAAAAACAATGATAGTCAAAAATGGGATCACCATAACAATTCTGGATATTTTCAATAAGATTGATTTTATTTATCGGAAGTTCAGGACGTCTTCTGTACAAAATATAGGAATAGTATTGGGGTGTTGTATCTAGGTGGAAATATACAGGCTATGGTACCACTTTTTATTGTTAACGATGAAATGCTTCGTTAGTTTCGTAGAATAAATTAACACCAACATTTTCTTTATTATCCTGCGCGACTGACTTACGACAATGTGAGGAACAAATGACATACTTCTATAAAGAAAGACAGATGGCGAGAAGGAGGACAGAAAATAAGACAAAAGAAACGAAAGATACAATTTGTATACTATAATGGGAGTTTAGACCTCTTAAATACTTGCTTGCAGAGATATCTGTTGCATGACTTACATGGTTATCTGGGTTACTCCTGAACGTGGACTTCTGATAGTCTGCTATAGTCTCCAATAGGAACCCCGTGGCCCATAGACCGTAGCCCACATAATCTCGACGCGTTAGGGGCTTGTCTTCCTTCTTACTGTTGAGGATTAGAGTGGGCAGAAGGGTAGCAAACACCCATACACCTGAAATAAGACAATGATGAATGTTCTACCGGTTGGAATACTGGGTTTTGGTGTGGACTGCCCCAAGATCTTCTTTCTTACTCAAATGCAGAAGAGGGATTTGTTTCTTACCATATGTTTCAGAATTATGACAACTTACCCAATTTTGAAAAGAAAAAAGTAATAACTAGTGCCATTTTCGTTTGTCGTGGTCGAAACGGATGAACATGAAATAAGGTCGGACCTAGTAATCTGATGCTGCTTTCAGGTAAGCCTTGACAAAGCCTTGCAAGGCATGAAAACACATTTACAGGTCCGCCATAATTTATACAAAAATGTTACATTTAAAAAACAGAAAAAAAACCAGCTGTTCTGTCAAAATCATAAACGAACAGGCGCAAGGGAAAATGTAATATAGTCTCGTAACAACATTCACATTTTCGCAATGCATTACAACCGAAGGATGCAGAGCAAATGTAAATATTTACATTTGCTCTGCATCATTCGGTTGCAATGCATTGAGAAGGAAAATGCTGTTGAGACTATAACAGCGCTGAATAAAGCGTTACTACTCTATCACAATGTAAATATAAATAGTGAATATTTTAGCAAATATTCTTATGGTCCCATAACACACATTTTTATTGCTACGTTTGTCATCAATAGAAAATTGTGCTATAGGACCATAACAACGTTTGCTAAATCATGCATTGCTTAATTGCAAGTTAATGCCAAAAATGTCTGGATCCTTCTGGTTGAGGTATGCAACATAATACAACACGTTTTGTGTCAGTAGTACTGACCGAATTCATATATATATATATCTTTACAATACTTCGTATTATGTTAAAATAATAGTTATATATTATTTATGAAATGAAATAATTTTACAAACTTTTTGTTTGTATGATTTTAAGTTTTACATCTTTTTTAAATAATCATGATGGTTTTCCCAAAGGTTCAGTTCTTAGTCCATGCTCTTTACTGGCCATAAACCAATAGTAACTTGGTATTGATAATTATGACATGACTGTGATTTTCTTAAACGTTTTGTTTATTAAATCTTTGTTATTTCTTCATTCAAGTTCAGTAGCGTATGGATCTATTTTCAGAAACGATTTATCAGAGCTATAGTCATGCCGGGAAAACAGTTACCAATGAATATTTACAGTTTTTGGAAGTGGTACGCGGATTCTCAATATCACACTTAAATTACACACATGGGGGTACAGTTTGTCCTTATACATGTATGACCCTAGCTTCTAATAGGACGTTAAACGCTTAACAAATTACGAAAATAGGACATTGGTTTTACCTTGGATGGTCCAGTAGACAAAGAATGTACTGGGTTTAGTTCGGACTTTGTTGAAGCGACGATCCTGTCCTTCCTTAAGGATTCTTGAAAACAGAAATAACCCTAGCCTGTAACAGAAAAGTTGTACCATTTAGAAATTAAATATTCTCAGTTGTAACATAGCTTCCTTCAAAAAAAAAGTTGGTTCAATCATACATGAGGTTGTAACACAAGATTAAATACATTAATAGTGGGTGGATATGCGAATTTAGTAACTGAAAGCTGTCTTAAAAGCCTGTTGAGTTTTTAAATATGTCTCAAAAGTTCTCAAAGTTTTAAAACGTAGGACCATTTGTATTATGTATCCCCTTTTCGCTAGTTAATTTTCAATTTTAAAAAAGATCACTGAAGTTCGGGTTCTTATAAAACTTGAAAATTAACTAATCCCAGTTTGAAAAACAGGACAAACAACGGACAACTTTGAGGGAATATATCTAAGGGAGATAACTCGTCAAGACACCCAACACACCTGAAACCCCAGGTGGCAGCCAGCCATGACACGATACGCTGTCGTCTGTAGTTGGTTTTGTTCCATTTCAGAGACAGAAGAGCAAGATACAGTATGGTGCCTGACCCTATCGGAGCCTCTACCAAGAACGCTAGATAAAAATAAAATCAGAACTAATATTGTCAATATTGTCAAACTTTTCTTCAAAAAGTTTGACAATATTTCCTAATATAATGAAGTAATCTCTGTTCGTCTTGGAATGGTATCTGCAATTGTAATTGGTAAGTCAGTGGCCGAATTCTAATTAATGAAAAGGGTAAAGTTGACGGGTACACACCTGGCCGACCACGTCATTACCATGCCGGTGTTTATCTTTTGGCGGGTAAAGTACGTGTTGTTCCATCGAAACGTCTGGAGTGCCAAGAAGAAAAACGTGCTTGACCCTGCAAACAACAATTTGTTATTGAAATATGAATAAAAGCAAAGAAATGACTTTGTCCCACTGCCGACAAAACACGAAAACATTCCTCTGTAGGTTCTCATGCATACAGCAACCTCCTTTTACTTTCGTTTTGGATTAAAGCTGGAACTGGATTGGGCCTTGCAATTCCTGCTGATCAGTAGCTCATCATAGCTTCAGTTAAAAAGACTCGATCTGGCAAGACTGCATTTTATTTGAAGATATTTTTCTCCCTTTTTTTCTTTTTTTTTTCTTTATTATTTTTCAGAAACAATTCCGCGTAGTATTGGTCCTTTCCAGAAATTATTTATGAAAGCATTTAATAGGCCGGTAAAGAGGTTTTCAATTCATAGTTACAATTTTGACAGTGGTACTTAAGGAAATGTGCTACCTTTAAGTTTTAATGATATGATCCTTCCAAAAATGTTCCGTACCAATTAGACATCTATTTTTTTTTTTTTTATGCCATCATGTTAATTTGAACGTGCTCAATTAATTAATGACACATCGAAGATGTCAAGCACCTTCACAATATATGCATTAATACCATTCTGTTTAACATGAACTAGAAGACATTGTTAAAAACTTTTGCTAATACAGACAAAGCAATTCGATACGCTCGGATTTTATCCATAAAAAAAAACCGAATTTTACTTGATGTTACTGTTTACCGATTGAACACTTAGCTACGTAATTTCCTCAAGTTAACAAATGTTCTTCATCCTGAGACCGGAATTAATATTTGTCTATTTTATAATATTTTCTTTTATGATCTCAGTTTTTTTTTCTAATTTTTTTTTACTATTTATTCTCAGACTTCTTAATCAGTTAGTGCTGGAAAACCGTAGCGGCCTCAAAACATATCATCGGCACAATTTAGGCCACCCCAGTATTCTATGAAATGCATGTATATAGCCCATATATATTACACAAATACTACTTAAATGGAGAGACAATAAGTATAAAGAAGTCTGCCAATGTGTTTGGTTCAATCCCTAGCGCATTATAGCATGCAATTAAAATAAATAAGCATGTAAAATGCACAATATCTCCGAGGGGCTTGGGGATAATTATTTGTATTTGATTCTTAACGGCCTATCAACAAACGATGTCATTATATAGGGCCAATAAAAGTAGATGAAACAGACATCAAATCTACGAAAAGGTTAAAGACAAACGCTTGGTTAGTAAAATAAAATAATGCTATTGAATAAATTGCAGAATGCCAATATTTTTAGAAAATATTAATAGCTTAAAAACTAAAGAATCCATTTTTTTTGTTTTTAATTATTATTCGTTGGACATTAATCATAATCATTCCATGTATAACACACACTCCAAAGCCTACAATTATATCGTCTTTTAAACATAATTCAGGACAGAACTCAGTTTATACATCTCCTGCCTTTTACTTGCAACAGAATATGACATATGTCCTTGAACATTGAGCTTACTCGAGTTTCTTGTCGGTATGTCAACAAACGTGAACCGTTGCAATCATAATCATTAAAATGTACCTCGATCTCTGTAAACCGAGAAAGTTATACAACTTTGCATAGTCATAGACGTATATTCTACTTTATATGTCTCGGGTATAGTTTGCGAAAAGTTGCACTTCGCTGGGTTCAAACAAACAATCGTCTTAAATCTTCCTGGTCAAGCACCGGACACTCTGAGTGCAAGACATAGGAATGAGCCCGTAAAGGAGGGGTGGGGCCATCTCAATATCTAAGTCTCGAAGCGTTCGGAGCTAGACACGTCTAATGTCACACAATGTACCTGCTAGGTCGTAAAACTTCTCCGTCTGAAGAGCAGCAGCGACGGCCCAGCAACCCCACTGTATACCGAAGTCTATAGCAGCAGCCTTCCCGAGAGAGCTTCCCATGTCGCCGAGCATTACATGTGTGACGGTCAAAACAAGGCGATAAAGGCGGTCAAAGTGTACCCCACATGTGTGTACACAGTCGTGTGTTGTGTAATATGTAAACTTCCGGTTGATGGAATTTTTCATATTTTAGAGTTATCTCTCTTTGCACATGGCATAAGGATTATACACAGATACACAGATTATAACTTTAAAAAAAACTCTGCTGTCAGTGTAGTAGAGTGGTTAAATCTGATTTTAATAAAAAAAAAAAATATTAGCTAGACATATAGTCAGGGTATTTTCCGCCAAAAGTTCGAAGAAAGAAAGATTTTGAGGCATACTATAGAAGTCATAATACAGAACAAAGGTATGTGCAGGTTTTAAGATATTTGATAGAGAGTGCTATGTTGTATTTTTGAATGTGTATAACTAATCAAATGAATTATATTTGATAAAAGTAGTATAATTGATTGTTATTAGTTTGTATTTTGTCTTCATACTATTTATTTACATCACTCTGAGGAAACAGCTGGAGGGAAACATTTAAAATAAGTCCCGAGTCCTAGTTGATGCCTCCATTCCATATATGGGGTATGTGTATTTGTAAAATGTGTATTTTCTAATAGTGTATCTTTTATTCGTGTGTTAAAAGTATGTCTACTGTTTGTAAAAGTAATTGTGAATGTATTTATCATTTATAACTCTTTTTGTATGAAATGTAATTACTAGACAAGTAATTCGTTGCATGTTATTCGTTTAGTTAAATAATGATGAATTATGATACATGTAGAGTTAATTATATATAAGCTATTTGATAAATTATTTAAAGTTAAGATTCATTATAAAAGGAATTCTTTCAATCTAAAAGTAAAGATAATTCTTTGTAGATTAGACAAGGATAATGAAATGTATATCTCTGTATATGTATATCTAATATGTTTATGTATTATGCTTGTAAGTGTTATTTGTGTATATTTGCAGGGTGTCAATGTCAGCCTGACTATTCATGTTTGGTCAGTCTTTGTCATAATGGATCGGAATAAAAGGAGAGAACCTTAAGAAACGTTTTTGTTATACATGTACATGGAAATGAGTCTGCTACATCAGCTCAATACGGTTTGAACAATTCTAACAAGAGCATGGACATATGAATAACATTAATCGTTGAGGTGAAAAAAGTAAATTATACATCAATTCCCAACTAGAGTAATTAGTGTTCACAACATTAATTTGCTGATTATTATCAGACAGTATATCCAGTTCATTTATTTCACTACGGGTTGATATAAAAGATCTTGCATGAGTTTCCATTTCATACAAATGTATGAGATTTATGAATCGAGTCTAAGAATTTTTCAAATTGGTGAACTAAAATGAAAAAATCATGACTAGTTTCATTAATTTCATATGAAATGAAAACGCGTGTAAGATCCTCTTCATCACATGATCAAGATTTATGGCATTTATTCGTGTAAACCGACAATGTTCATGCAACCTTTAAATGTAAAAAGCCGCCATTTTGACTCCAGTGCGTAAGTCTATGACGTCATGTACTTGTCCTAGTCGTGACGTCACAATTGACACAATTGAAACTTACAACTAATCACAGGGCTGATAGGTCAAATTACATGGGTAACATATTCACTGGATAACACAGTACATAAAATCAGTTCTCTATAGCTATAGAGTATCGGTTGGTTTCTCCAGTGATGGTCTAGGCAAGACTCGAAAGATTTGATAGTTCTTGATAACATTATACTACTGACGGAATTGCACTTTTAGCATGATATTATAATATAAACTAATCAAACTGGGAAAATATATTGATATATCAGGCGAACGTTCCCTGGTGAACAGTAGTATGAACAGATCTAAAAGTGACCCGCATAAGGCATTAACATTGTTTAAAGGTAGCCCAGAACAGGCACAATATTATATATTTGGCATCACAAATATTTGGCAGACATATATTTTAGCAAGAAATATCAAACAGGGATACAACTTTAGCTGAACCCAACTAATATTTAAATACATTTTATGAAAATTTCATGCGAATACTATGGGTTTTTTTGGTTGTAGTGGGGAACTGTTGGCTAACCTGGTGAAAAATAAACACAAATTAATGTTATAATTAAGTTATTAATTAACGAGAATATCATCCCATCTTCAAAATGTAATGGTTACGTTTATGCTGTAAGTAACTGCTGTGCCGGGTAGATATGTGATATTAAGAGCAAAACCCTTTTTTATTTCTTTATTTTATTTTACAATCAGATATCGGGACGATGTAGCGATTGCCTTAAGTCTTTTAACATCATTTGATTAACGAGTTGTATTGTATTTTAAAACCTGGTGGCCAACAGTACTACGGATATAGAGGTACGTGGGCCTGTAGTAATTATCGAAAGAAATACAGGGACAAAACATTTCTGCATGTATATTCAAGACATTGGCAGATCTCGTTGGGCTTGCTTTGTGTGTGTCATTAACATCTTTGGTAACACAAGGACGCACCAGGTTTTGGTAGTGGAGGAAAGCCGGAATTCCCGGAGGAAAACCACCGACCAACGGTCAGTACCTGGCGACTGCCCCACGTAGGCCTCGAACCCGCGACCAAGTTACGGGGGGCTAGTGGTAGCTGAATGTCAGACGGCTTAACAACTTGGCCACCGCGGCAGATTTCGTATTGATGTCGTGCTAAATAGGGGATTGTATATGCAGATGTTCCCTAACGAGTGATGTTTACTAACCTGTATTTAACTGATTCATAAACGTCTTGCTCTCAGTACAACTGAGAAGGCTTTCCCTTTGGTTGAGCTGTTTTCTGTCTCACCCCCCAAGGTGGGGAACGATTATATATTATATTATTTTCCCCATTAGACAGAGATACATAATGTATCCACACTTCCGGTCAGGGTAATATATTTCTTTCTTACACGAGGGTAAAGACGAAGTCAACGCTTTTAATATATGACGTCAATATTCCATTGTGTATATTACGGGGTCAACAGGATAAGAGAAACAAATACACATCCTCTTGAGGCGAGATGGGAAATATCAACCCCAGAGGAAAGTTTCTTAAATTGAAAAACACTCAGCAAGCAAATTAAGAACCCCTCCCCCTCGGGTTAAGATTCCACTTTCTTAAACTTGAGGGGTGAAGGATTCTATTTATTAGTGAAATGAGTCGAAAATAATAAAACGATATTTTTTTTACAATAGCGGTGTGATATGCGGTATTCACATGTTGTATTCGAATAATACAATAAAAACACCTGACAGAAGCGAGATTTAAATATATTTTATTTGCGATAAATTAATTTTGCACCATTGTATATTATAATTTATAGAAATAATTTATACACTGAGAAACATAATCTACAATTCGCATACAAATACTGAAGGTTATATGGTACAGTATGAAAGGAAACACATGCTCAGAGGTTTTGTCAACAGGGGAGATAATCCAGTCTAGGTTATACATTGTACACAAAACAGTGTGTGATTCGATTTTGTTGACAAACGTTCACGTGCATGCTACAACATAAGAAGCATCGTGCTCTATACACATGTGTTTACGACAAGTACATGTATACTAAAGATATCTGCAGAATTTGCGAATTTTAAAACTTAAACATGTGTGTATTTTCGTCATAAGAAAGGGGAAACGTATCTAACGGCGCTCATGACCAAATAGAAGCTGTTTGTAGTATGCTTATCATTAAATGACATTGCCTTTCTATAACAAAACATGTTAAATAATGTTCCTACATTATAAACATTGAAAATTCGATCAAATTCAATTCGAACAAACTTTCCGATATATATAACATCTTATTTGGACAATTTAGTCCAAGTACATTAGATTTCCAGATAACCCGATTCGACTTATTGATTGTAATGCTATATTGACGAAACATACAATGATTTTGTACTCATACAAGTGCTTGTGCTGTGTCGACATTATTTGTGACAATAAACAATTTACAGTGAAAATGTATGACAAAACAAATGAAACAAAGGACAGGAAAAAATCACTTGATTACAAAATTAGAAATTTGATCAAATGTGTGCTTCATTTTTGACTGAATCGTATCGGTACTTTTTCACTGACACGTCAACATTCGGGGTGACACTCGCTCGGTATTTTTTCCTTTGTATTCTTTTGTAGTTTGATTCTTTTACTACCAACTTCCCGTCGTTTGACCCCAACTGACCTTATTTTCCTGAATGCCTGTTCAGAATTTCCCAAATCTTAGCTAGGGTTATAGGTCGTATGTCTGTCACGACACCAATTTTCGCACCTGCTAATCAATACCTTCACCTATATATTACATATAGTACAGCATTTAATTCGAGTTCCACTAACCCTGTTACATATATATTAATGGGGCGTGAAATTGATTCCATTTCACCTTGGTCCCACAACAAAACACTTAATGGACAACAAAGAAAAGAAAATGTAAACAAATTATTCAACAATATTTTGGCGTTTAAAAATACGAAAAAATATATATACGAAAATGAGTTTATAGATAAAAGGCTACCCCACGATAAGACTGTGTTCATTGTGTTAAAGCTGCGAAATAATTACCACATCAGTTTACCGTTCTTTATAAATTTAACCTGTTACATGACAACAAAGCACGTGAATGCATGTACACCAAATTGTTCATGATATTTATGGGTTTAAATTATACACGGTGTATATGGGTAATCGGCCAGTCTTAGATAATATATACCTTGTCTGTTTGCATAGACTTTCTCAATTCAAAGCGTATTCTGTGGACTTTAAAGAAAAATATAAATTACTTTTCGACATGCCGTGATAAGATCCTTTTCACACGATGACCATTGTATTTCCCTTATGTAAACATTCTTTCTACGTAGTACATGTACACTTGTATGGAGATACCCGGGAGACTCTATCTAATAGAACGCCGAGAAGGATATTCACATTCTGTACTAATTCTTTGCATACACTAATTACGGTAGAAGCACAGGGGTCAAACACAATTTATGCCAGTATAAATAATGGCCTTGACCTTTTGTTGGATTGGATAGGTTTTTGGAAATTTAGGTCTGTTATATTGCTTTGTGCAAAAAACATCTATGCGGTTCGTGTCGGTAAAACGAAGCAGTTGAAGTATGAGATTTCAGGATATACCAAGTTCGCGGTTTCTCTAAGGCCAGGCCTATATCTCCCGGCTGTAGTCTTAGCCCCGGTCAGGGGGAACCAGAAATTTGCTATGTCCCTCAATCCCATACTGTAACTGTCAGCTAACTTTACGTGTTTGTGGAGTACCATATTTCTACAGTGCTAAAGAACAATAACAAAATACATTAAACAACTACATACTGAATATCCGGTGAGAACGCGAACGCGGTGTTTCCATGGATATTTAGTAGGATTTAACCTTATTATTATAGTTTATACATACATATAAATAGAAGCTAATCTATATGCATTGTGTTTTGTTGTAAATTTCACAATACATGTAATTGTATAACATTAAATTGTCTCCATAGGGAAACACATCTTTACAAAATCCTCTAAGGAGATAATATTTTAGAACTTTTGTCCTCAAATCCAACAAATCCATCATAATATTGATTTATAGTGTATAGCTGTCATTCAAAATTTCAAGAAGTAACATTTGTATAGAAACTTGTAATTACATGTTTTTATTAAATTAAAATCAAAATTATGCATAGTATCAACTATAACGAACAATTTAAGTATGTAAAAAAGATAGAGCTGCATCTGTAAAAATAGTTAAATTGACATCACCTAAGTTTTGTTTTAGGTTTTTAAATTCGGAAGTCTTTTTGAAAGGAGGCGCATATCACAGTAGGTTATGTGCGTCCTTAAAAGTGGGTAGCATAATATGTATTCCGCTTTTAAATTACGTGTTTGTGAGTAAAGAGTTACATTCAAAGTTTCAAGACCAATCGGCAGACAAACTGTTGTCCGAGTTCCTGTTGTTCCCATTCAACCCATCGTGCAAATGTGTTGGAAATGTTCGGCCGTTCTCCATAGACTTGACGTACTTGGCATTCGTTGTCGATTTAAGATGCCGACTGCCTACGTACTCGGCAACGTAATTGTTCCGAAACGGCGTGGGAACCATACTTCCGGAGTCGTGTAGCCTTTCGGTTAACATTTCTTTATCTTTGACAACGGGAAGCAGGGCCGCCTGAAGCGTCCTCTTCTCCTTCTTTTCACGCTCTAGTAAATTCTCAAGCTCCTCGCACCGATCCTGTACGTCGTTTGTGAAGTGAATAAGATCAGGTTTGACTTCCAGCTCGATGTGAATGTCTTTCTGTACCAGATTCTGGTGAAATTTCACTGTGGCGATCTGTCTCTCTAACGCGTAACGTTGTAACCTGTTTCGCTCGTACATAGTCCGTATCTGTTTGTATTCAGACTGTTTTCGGTATCGAACGGCGGATTGAATATTTTTGGCAAGTTCGTTTTTCTCGGATTCTAATTTGTCAAGGCTCGCTTCAAGCTTAATTCGTCTTTCTTCAGTCTCGTGTATTGCTACATGGAGCTCATTTGAGCGCTCCTCGCGCTTCATGAGGCGCTGGAGCTCCTTTAAGTCCCTGTCTAGTTCTTGTTGTCTGGTGCTAATATCCTTTGATAACACTGACAGACGACGAGACAACTGTTCCTCGATAGCGGCCAACTTGTCTAACTTTTCACTGACATCCTTTGTTTTCTTGTCGTCAAGTCGAAGCCATCGTCTCGCGAGCCAGGCTGCCTTCTGAAACTTCACAAGCACATCAGGCAGCACACGAATTAAACAATGTATTCTCACGTTTTTCAGTTTCAAATGATGTACCGATTGTTCGCTGTCTTGGCTGAACATTTCATAGCTTATACTGTTTTCGTTGTCGAGCAAGAAATCAATCCGTTCTTTAAGGACAGACAGTCTCTGAGCAATGTTTTCAATTTCGGTATTGTCATACAAATTTTTGATGTCCCGGAATTCGCGTCCGAGTAAAAGTAGAGCTGCACGCGACAACATCCGTTTCCGTGTCTCGTGAATGTCATCAGAAGATGCCTCGCTGTCCGCGTCAGAGTAGGCGAACGAGCTCCAGCCTGACAGTCCCGTCAATCCACTGAGACTACTATCGAAAGAGCTGTTAGACACAAGACTTAAATTCGATACGGACATGGCAGAGTCTACAGACCTTTCCCGATCTGGTGCGGCACTAGCCACTTCAAGGAAATACTTGAACAATGGATTAAAGATTCGATCAACAAAATTTGACCGTAGCTCCCGTAGGTATTTCAAGTAATCGAAAAACCACGCAAAATATTGCATCATTGTGTCCGGTGCTACGTTTGTCTGAAAGCCTGGTTTCCGGCCTCTATTGCGCATGTGTATACGCCTTGCTTCCGATTTGAACGCCTGACGAAGTCCAGCAACCGTGTGGATGTCCTTTGATCCCTTTATACGTTTTGTTAGTTCTTTGAGCATTTTAAACATCAGATCGGCGTTGAAGTTATCATGACAGCGATAAATTTTATCCTCAAACGCATCAATTTGGTTATATAGCACATAACTTCGGTACTTCTCCTCCGATGTCAGTAACTTCAGCTGTGAACAAAAAATGAATAATTAAAATCCTTCAGGGCAGAAAATCAAGTATCGCCATCAAATAAAGTCATATGACGGTAATGCATTAAAAAAACACGCAGCAATTCGATGAACAAAGCCAAACAAAGAAAGCTTTTTTACTGAGTTTTTCTTGATCTCTTATCATCGTTCAATACTTAACATGTTGAATATTCCAAAGAAGAATAGTACTATATACAGATATTTATGATAAAGCATAACGCCACAATTACCTGGATTTTCTCAGCGGCCCAATGCCGACGTGAATCCTGATTATCAGGCGACCTGTAAGATATAAACATTAAATTTTACGTTAACATTTGGAGAGAGGTTTGCAATTCAGTGGCTTATAATATCAGACGTCAATAGCTTATAAGCTTTGTTGTGGTGTAATTAAAATTTTATGATTTTTTTTCTTCAGTTAGTTTTTCTATGGTTCGGTATTATTTTGTTTAACGTCCTATTTACAACTAAGGTCATTTGAGGGCGTGCCTCCATGTGTGTTGTGTAAGAGTGCATACGTGTATGTGTGCTTGAGGCAGGGTTTGTGTGAAAAAAATGTTCAAATTATAAACACATCATTAATTCTAAATACACATTCTTTGTACTATAAACGCGGCGATCACACTAGTAGCACGACCGTCACATCATAAATACAGCCTCCATACTAAAACCACACCCTTCATACTAAAACAAACCTTTCATGTTCCAAAAACATCCTTTATATCTTCATACCTAAACACGCCTTCCACATTACAAACACATTCTTTTCACTGAAGACATATCATTTATACTTTGAAGACATATAGAAACACGCCTCCCATACTTTAATCTGCCAACACGTTGTTCATACAGAAAACATATTTATCATACTATAAAACATCTGTAAAGGTGCAGCATTTTTTATTTATTGTTCATTTTAGCTTTTTATGTCATGATTTGATACAGGTTTTAGCGTTTAGCGTCCTCTTAAAAGCAATGGTCATTTAAAGATATGCTTCTATGTGTGTAAGGTATGCATGCATGTGTGTATGTGTACTGGAGACAAGGTATGTTGGTGTATTTGCCCTCCTGGGACAGTTAGTGTTGTTAGTAAGTCAATTATTTGATTCTTAACGGCCCAGCAACACAAAAAGGGTCATTAGGGTCAATGCAAAGTAAATTGAACATGTTAAAGGAAATTACATTACACGGACGTAAAGGTTAAAGACAAACGTCAACTCGAAAAGTAAAAAAGTGGCTATGATTATATATATCTTTTGAACAGACCAACAGTTAGCGACAGCACAAATTTTATGCCAACATCAAATGTATAGGTCCTAAATCTGAGCGTATGTGCTGTTAACTACAAAGTTCCTTACAATAAACGTGTTAAAAAGTGCATGTCCTTTGTTAGATCATGTGTCAACCTTCACCAGTATAGCAAAATGTACGTGTATCGTAAACTAATCAAAATATTGCAGTAAAGTTGCTTCTTATAAAAGTTTATGTCTTTGTTGCCTATATTTACAAACGCATTGTCATGGGTAAAATGTATAAAAAGTATTTACAGTAATTGTTATTGGGTTAAAACTTTCATAATACAACATTTTCTGTACAAAATATATGCATGTTAGCACTTACATTACAATTGTTAAAAACACAATGGAATGCTTTACACAATAACACTGCCTATGTTGTATCCGCCTCTGGTCCTTGGGGAGTTTACAGTACACGGATCAATAGCATAACAGCATGAACATCAGTATAGACACTGTTTATGTCCGTAGCAATAACGCAATAGTTCCCATAACCTTTGATCACGGGAAACATTTTCAAAAAAGTGCATTACGACAATAAAATCGATTCATTTCTTGCAGATACGCTTAAATGCAAAAAAAAATATAACAATGAGAAAAGTACAATTCTTTTCATATGTTTTTAATCATTGTCAGCCTTAGAAGGTTAAACATCAACAATGCGACATATTGTGCATTCATTTTAGTTTTTTAAACTATTCATCACAAATAATACAATTTATTGAATGGTGTTTGATAAGTTTGCAGTTTGACAAACAATTCATTTTACTTCATTTGATTAAATAGAGTTTCTAAACATCCAACGTTGTGACTATAGAACGTAATGGAAACTATTTACTCCACGTTAAAATTCCCATGTCGGACAATATTGAGAAGTAGGTGTGGTGTTAAGTCGTTTTCAACTTCGTGTCCCATTTATGCATAACTGTTTGTTTGGGGTTCAATGTCCTCGTAACAGTCGAGGTCATATAAAGCCGCGGTCATATCTAACGGTCACGCACGTAGTTGACCGTAGTGGGGGATGACCGTAGTTGCCTGCAGTAGACCGTAGGTGACGTTAGTTTAACATATAAAACGTAGTTCAATGTAGTTATGAACGAAGTCTGAACTTCAAGAAACTCATGATTTCAAAGTGTTCAAAATATCTCTACGGTGGGTGTGGATGTTTTTACCCTACTATGACCGTAGCTTGAACCTAGTTGACCCTAGTTGACCGTAATTGACCCTACTGTGACTGTATATTTTAAAATGTTGCCCGTAGTTAGACATAGTGCGGCCCTAGTTAACCCTAGTCAATTTGTTTTTACACGTAGTTTACCCTACTTTCTTTATATTTTCTCTTTGCCCGATTTTGAACCTGCTTCAACCTGCTTCAACCTAGTTGACCGTAGTGTCACTACGGTCAACTACATGTACGTTCACAGGAACTCTGGTCAACTATGCACGTGACCGTATTATGTGACCGCGGCTTAAGAGAGAGAGAGAGAGAGAGAGAGAGAGAGAGAGAGAGAGAGAGAGAGAGAGAGAGGGGGGAGCAGGTGAGACAAAAACAAATAAAGATAAAATGTCGAAAGATTGAAGACAATCCCGTTCTGAAGTTTGCTCAACATAAGTCGTTGCTTAAGATATGCTATGGGATAGAGCAGGCATTTCCCCCCAAACCTAAGTGTCGTGTATGTTGAAAATGTTTCAATAAATAAAAAAAAATGCACAAGTTGACATTGACGATAATAAATTATTAAATGAACAACATTGGTAGCAAATGAATTAAAGATAATGACGATGATGAAAAACCAAAACCACAGGAAATAACGGAATACGGGATCAATATCAAAAACTGAAATACATCCTGAACACAACAACATACCAGAATGATTCACGCTTCTCGCACCAATTATTCTAGGGATTTCAACCGATCGAAGGTTAAGGATCCCCGTCCCAGTCAGAGCAAAACACTAAAGAATTCGGCTGTCGTTTTTCAGTGTATGAGTCACCTGCCCCTGATTACCATTTTGACAATGTTGTTATCTTCCCTTGAATATATTTCGTTTGAATAAGCTTTCGACTACAGAGTTGTGTCCCTTGCGTTGAAAATCTCTAATCGCGAAAGTGTGGGCAAAAAAGCTGTCGTAACGATGTAAACAACATCGTGGCAGTGATGGCCGACATGCAAGCCCGACGCAAAATCGGTCGTTTTAAATGTAAACTAAACGCATTAACTGACAATAATAACAACAACGATGTCCAATATCAACTTCTAGACCATGACTATGCGACGAAACAAAGTGACACTCTTTCGCAGATTGAAGAGACGCTGACTACTGAGGCCCCTACTACTGGAATCTTACTGTTGAGCCGACAACGATGTCCGTTGATGATCCCTCCAGTACTAGTGATCACGAATACGCCATTAACATTTTAACCTGTTTGCAGGGTAGACGAGTGGTTGAACTCGCGGTGCTATCTGAATACCTGGACCAGAAAGGTTGTAAGGAATGCGGTACTAGGCTACGGTTATGCAATAGCCAACAGGAGAGACATTTTGGCCTGTTTGACATTTTGACATTTTGACATTTTATACACAAGTAAGTGTATCACATGACATCACAATAGTCAGGATTATATGCCCGATAGGCCTATATTCCAAGTTCATTTTTTATATTACATACAACAGTGTTATTTTTAGGCGGATGGACGAGGATCCTTAAGAAAACAAGTCGTTATATGCAACGTTATCTATCCTGGTCGACAAGAATGACAGGGCCATATGATCAAAAGTCTGGTCAGCTTCACAGGTCGTTAACGCAACTTTTCAAAACGCGATTTTTAAGAAATATCTGAAGTTTTACAAATATTTTAGTATGTTTCGTTTCTTGGGATAACCATTTTGAATCCTTTTACCTGTAGTATTTGTTTTGAAATAAAATGTTTTTGAAATCATACTGGATTAAAAGTTTTAAGTAAATGCTTGTTAAGCTTATCAGACTTTAAATATTTAATATATGGTTTAGAAAACGACCCGACAAATACATTTTACATCTATTTTAATTGTGTTTGTAAATCAAACAATAAGGACGTTTTAGAGAAAACATGTCTCATATTTATATCATTTTGTTCTCTATTTGATATATAACCTTAAGCTCTGAATGAATCTAATATACATTTTAATTGTTTCGTTGTATTGTTTATAAAACTCATAAATAAAAAAACATGGAGGTGAATATCTCAGTTTTAAAAATTATCAATATATTGGAATGTTATACATTAATCCTGATACAATGTACTGATAGTATGTAATTATTATTGAACTCAATATGCTATAAGTATATTTTACAATATAGTTCGATAAGGTCAATCGACAAAATGGCGAATCTCGACCTATATATACCATACAAGTCATGCATTAGTTCACACATAGTCAGTAGGAAGTCATACTATTAGCTTAAACGAAACCATCCAGCATGATGAACGTATTTTGAAATAGAGCATTATTAGTACTTGTGAATAGATTCCTTGCGTTGACTTGGTCAATGAAATACAGACAAATCTACTAAGGACACCAAAAGTCTACAAATCGGTTCTGATTTCAAATCACCAGTCAAAAAAGGCAGCCCCTATCGATATAGAAAGTATACACACGAATATGTATTTGGGTGTTGCGAACATACCATTGTATGTATAAACTATCTCGACCTCCTTTATTACAGAACAAACCTGATTAATTGATAGAGTAAACATGACCGATTTTGATAAAATAGTTTATTTTTAATCATTATCCGTTTAAGTACTGATATGTCAGAGTTTCTATTAAGTTTTCATTTCTAAGGAAACATGCAAGGTACTTCAATGTTTATGTTGTTCTGGCTGCTTCCTTTCTAGCGTGTATATATATACAAATCTTAAGATACAAACCTATGCATTTAATAGGAAAAGTAAATTATGCCAAGTCAAATCATTTGCTTATATTTGAGTGCCAGAAAGTGAGGG